CAACTCACCTTTGATAGAGTTCAGAATTTCTTGAATTCTCTGTGGCTCATTGCGGTCTGGTCTGCAGCTCGGTGTGATCTCCAGCACGTAATCAGGACCGTACTCTGTGAAGAACTGCAGGGAAGAGGAGGGGAGAGTCAGCAGAGAGGTCTCCGGCTGGCTGAGGCTGGAGGGAGGGCTCTCCATGCGTACCTGTTTGTAAAAAGGCAAAACCTTTTTCTCTCTCTGAGGGGCACATGTAGCTTAACTACATCAAAGAGATGTTCCTGCAGTGCCTGTGCCCACCTGAACTTTGCAATCATTAGCTATTCAAGGGCATGGGAAGCAGAGCTCAGTGGTGCAGCAAAAAGCAGTCAAATGTCTATCCCAAAGCTTTATCTGGGAAAGCTGTTGACACTTATTCTACACTCAGTTACCTGCAAACCTGATTTTTTTATGAACAAAATTCAAGTGCTGCCTATCAGATATTCTTACTTTCGGCTCCCCACACCACCTTACAGAGTGCTGCATTGACACGGACTGTGAAACACCTGGAAGGAGAAAAATCAGTGTGCTTCAAGGCTAATAATGTGTCTTTCCTGGCTGAGCGCTCCAACAGCGTGCAGCCGAGCCTGAATAACAAAATCTGCAGCATGGGGGCTCTACATGATAACGTCAGCAGTTTTATTTCACAAGCATGCAGCGTTGAGCAAAGAAGCAGACACACCAGGGTTAAAAATTCAGCAGTGAAGTTGCAATTGGTCCTCTTGCTACCCCTGGAGAGTTTCACTCCATGGAGAGCTAGTCCAGACTTAAAGCTATTGTACCAGATAGGGAAATTCACAGCATTATAGTCTCCCAAGTGATTAATGATGCACAAGGCTGGGGTTTTCTTTAAGGCTGAGATTGGAGGTGGCAGATCTGCCAACCCAAGACCGACATCTCTGCACTGCAGGGTCAACGAGGGCTTCTCCAAGCAGACCTCAACATGCCAGTACTGACAAGGAAAATGAAATGGCTCCCAAATGCTGCAAGTTCCTGTCCAGCATTTGAAAGCAAACCTGAAACCACACTGGGTTTACCAGCCTGTGAACCACAGTGTTAAGGGGCTGCCTACTTTGTAAGTACATCAGCTACTCACACAGAATGGGCAAGGCAGCTGGGTCAGGGCAGGCAATGTGCTGCCTGCTGCCTGCCCTACTGCCTGACAGACTTTTTTGTGGACCAACACAATATTCCACTGAAAAGGGAGTAAAAAGCAGAGCTGCACCGGCTCATATGTGCAATGCTCGGTCACTGCAGACTGAGTTAGCTGATTTAAAAAATGGAAAAAAATCTTTCCTTTTTAGCAAGTCAGGGTTTTGATCTATGCTTTCAATGCCATAAGTATGAGATCCCATCTGTCCCCCAAACCAACATGGGGCAGCAGGAAGCAGCAGTACATTGCAGCTGCTCCTAGCTCATTAAAAAATTACCATGACTATTCAGATCAGAGATGGACCCAGGGCCAGCCTGAATGGCAGCCCTACCTAGCTGTATCATGCAGCATGGGAGCACATGCTTAGCTAATTAGCAGGCTAGCCCTCTTCCAAGCTTCTCCATGGTCAGCCCAAGGACCAATGTATATTTTTCAAGCAGATTATTTTCAAAATTTTCTTAAGTAAAAGGAGCTCCTAAACTAAACATTTTCCATTCTCATCCAGAGATCGCTTTGGAAAGCTCCTGCTGA